GCACTCCCTTAGTCTCTCACTCACACACACACACACACACACACACACGGCAGTAGAACGCATGTCAGACACAGTCAAATAATTTCCCCATCCGTCCTATGGCTAGCTTAGCATCGCAATCAACAAGATGGATTTGGTGTGTGCTCGGCCCCTCTCGTTTATGGTTTCATCATTTCCTCTGCGCATTTCTGACTGTGGCACGGCCCGAGCCTTCAGAGTGCAATGAGGAGAATCTCAGGAGACCTGAGCAGAAAGGCAGAAAAATATGGAGTAAACATGACAGCAAGTCTTTAGAAAAGAGAAGGGCAAACGTTCAGAAACCTTTAGGGTTAAGATTCTGTGCAGTGGCTCCAGACATGCAAGGAATCTGAGAATCGTGAGGGAAAATGTCGGCCCTTTCCCCTGTTCTGTAAAACACATGGTGTGTACGTTAAGAAAATGTGGTGGCCACATGTGTAAGTGAATTAGCTTCTTCCTGTGTGTGCCGTGCCGTGCCGTCTCCTTCCTGTGCACGCTAATAGTTTTGTGTCTGCGCTCCTCATGCTTTGATCGTAAGTAAGCCTGCAGAAAACCGTTCTCTAACCATTACTGCAGTACTGATAGGAGGCTGTGGTACGAAAATGAAAGCTATAATCAATCAAAATCTGTACTTTCAGTGTCTCCAATGGCTCATCAGACCGATCTGATCACCTGATCTGGAAAAACTTGGTGGAAACTCACATGATCTAAACAAAATATCGTAGGCCAGGCTTGCTCAATATAGCAGTGATTTTTTTTTACGTCATTCAGTGAAGTAACTGCTTCTTCCGTCTCTAAGTTTTATATTTATTAGTAGCATGTGAGAATGATGTGTCAGGCTTGTGTCATGACCTTGTTTTAAATCCATCTATTGCGGCTGTAATGGTGGGCTGGAAATTACAGGCCAACATCATCACTATTTGGCGAAGAGGGTCACAGCTGGACTTAGCACATTGTTGTGGGGAAAAGCCATATATGGTGAAGAAAATCCACTAGTTTGCTGGAAAACACCAAGTACAGCTGTGGTATTAATAACCTATTATTGAAGTTTATGTAGAATTCGAGGCATGTCAGCCTACTGAAAATAAAGGGTGTGAATCAAATATGGACTCAAAATGATTCATCCTAATGAATTGATGAAACACAGACCAGTGTTGCTATTACATCCTCTCGCTGTTTAAATGTAAACCAGTTATGTGACGGTTTCAATCACCAGTCAGGATTTTTTTAAAAGGTTAAAACATGAGAAGGGAAAAAATAAAGTTTTTTTAAGCCTAATACAGGCCAGGCTTTAGCTTTGCCCACACACAGCGTATATCTATACATCACGACGTGATATTTAGTCCATATTGAAGCATTCACTCTACTTTTGTTGTGATTGGATCCTCTCAGAGCAAAATCTGTCACAAACCTGTTTGCTGTTCACAACTTCCTGTTGGCTGTGTCCTGGCTGTGTCCTGGCTGTGTCCTGGCTGTGTCCTGGCTGTGTCCTGGCTGTGTCTTAGCTGTGTCTTAGCTGTGTCCTGGCTGTGTCCTGGCTGTGTCCTGGCTGTGTCCTGGCTGTGTGCTGGCTGTGTGTTGACTGTGTCTTGGCTGTGTGCTGGCTGTGTGCTGGCTGTGTGCTGGCTGTGTGCTGGCTGTGTGCTGGCTGTGTCTTGGCTGTGTGCTGGCTGTGTCTTGGCTGTATCTTGGCCGTGTCATGGCTGTGCACTGGCTGTGCGCTTGCTGTGTGCTGGCTGGGCATTGGCTGTGTCTTGGCTGTGCACTGGCTGTGCACTTGCTGGGCATTGGCCGTGTGCTGGCTGTGTGTTACAGGAATCAGTAAGTCTCTAGAACAGCTAATGAGCACTAGGGCCAGCCTTGTGCTCTCTTTCGAAGAACACACACCAGATACAGAAAATGGCTCCTGAGAAGACAGCCTTTGGTGAGGATTTTACAAGAAGCAGAACTGACAGGCACACAGCTTCATCTACTGCTAACATGCTAACTAAGTGTGACGTGCGATGGCACGCACTGCCCTTTCTCTCAAACAGAACAGAGCACAGCGAGAGAGGGAGAGAGACGACTGTTGCCGTGTGTCTCTGACCCTTGGCCCTGTAAGTCACTGACATGCCTGTTCCCTTCCTGTTTCACCTGAGCAGCTCCTCCCAGACGCCTCACACACTCATGAACTCTGGGTAATTAATCAGCCTCCATGCAGAAGCTTCACACACCTGTCAAACCTCGGTGACCCGCGTACAGTCTCCTAGCTTTCAGTTAATTCGAGGTGGAACATACTGTGTTCTTTTTCACGAGACGAGGCGTTTTCCTGTGCCGTGGCCGTCAGTGTGTAGAGCGTGTGGTCAGAGGTCTTTCTCTAAAGCTGATTAGATTGTGGAAGCAGAGTGATGCTGCTGAAACGCACCAGTCGATGCACTCACTTTACACTTAATTGGCAGCGGTCTGATTCTATTGTGGTCTGTTTGCCACGGCTTTAACCAATTACACTTTGATCTTTCTTTCTTTCTTCTCTCTCTCTCTTTCTCTCTCTCTCTTTCTCATACACACACTAACACACACCATCTCTCTTATTTTCTTTTCCACTCTCTTCTAGTTTTTATTTCTTTCTGTATTCTGTATTTATTTCTTTTTATTTATTTATATTTACCTTGTTAATAATCTAAAATCTATTTTGTGGCGATATACCCAAAGTATTATATATCACCATTGTGGATGTGATGTAAAATAGCTGAGAGACTAACTAGATTTAAATATAAAATGAACAGGTGACTAGAGTCATTCAGGCAGTTATCCCATCAGCCAATCACGTGGCAGCAGTGCGATGCATAAAATCAAGCAATAATTATAGCAATAATAATGTGCAACATGAGAATATGTACCAGAAGGGCTGGTTTGAGTATTTGAGAAATTTCCTGTGATTTTCACACACAACAGTCTTTAGAGTTCACCCAGAATGGTGCGAAAAACAAAAACCATCCAGTGATCGGCAGTTCTGAGGGCAGACCTTCCTTTCTGATCACAGGTCGGAGGAGAATAGCCTGGTTTGAGCTGTCAGGAAGACTACGTAACTCAGATAAACCACTCTTTACAACCGTGGTGAGCAGAAAAGCATCTCCGAATGCAAAACACGTTGATTCTCGGGGCAGATGGGCTACAACAACAGAACACCACATCAGAAAGATTGGAAAAAAACATTGCAAGATGATGTTTTTTTGCAGTCTTCAACTATCCTGTTTTGCTGAGCTCATGTCCACTGTAGACTCAGACTCCTGCTCTTGGCTGACAGGAGTGGAGCCTGATGTGATGATCTGCTTCTGTAGCCCATTGAAAAAATGTGAGGTGGCGCCACAACTCTGCCTGGCTATTGTGCAAAAATAGATAATGTTCTTAATAGCCTACTAAAAGGCACATATAAATCACAACAAACTTGCTATTTCCTAACCAGCTCTTTGTGTTGATTTCCTTTCATTTTTCAAGACAAAGTGGTGTGCCTAGGTCATGACTGATTTTTAGCCAAATACCTCGGGTACCTTTGAAGTTTTGTTCAGTCATGATGACTTGAAAATCTCCACCAGTTAACAAATTTCTGCTGGTGTCTCATTTATACTGGAGCTCCACCCAGCACTGCAACATATGTGTTATTTATTTATTTTTTTTCTTCAGATCTTATTTAGACTTTTTTAGACTTATCTCTCTGGTCCGTGCGGTTGTTTGCAGTGAGGTGGAGGTATGTTCAGTGTTCTCACACTCCGAAGTAAGTGGGAGCTAATCACTATGCTAATGAGACCGTTTATGTTTAGCGACTGCATTTCTCGTCCATTGGGTCAGTTCTCTCTAATGACCACAGAACCGATGCGTACCATTATATAGGCAGGGATGCCAAGAGTGCCTGCTGGTGCGAGTGCGCACACACACTCATACACACACCGCTGTGTCCAGGGGTCAGCGCCCTCCATGTTACCGTGGCAACAGGCCAAACCGCAGCCAGAGCATCTGTTTCACACCTGGTTGCCAGGCGACCACCCAGCTGTCAGAATGCCGCTCACGCCACATGCCACTGTTCAGTATGCTAATCTGTGTGTGTCAGTGTCTGTGAGTGCATATGATGTTGTGGCCTCACCTGCTCTTCTCCCACCGTCTCACAACATGCAGTTGCTGCCTATACTGTCACTGGGTTCAACTGTGTGTGTGTTTTTGTGTGTTTGTGTGTGTGAGAGAGAGAGAGAGAGAGAGAATTTATACAGTCCTTTCACCTGGCTTGATGTTTTCCCTTGGGTTCACACTGTATGACACTGTTTTTATGCCTGTGTGTGTGTGAGAGAGAGAGAGAGGGAGAGAGAGAGAGGGAGAGAGAGAGTGAGACACACACACCCCTCTGGACTTCTCAGTAGTTCACACTGTATAGCACTCGTTTGCCATATAATGTGCGAATCCCACTGTTGGCCTTCTGGGCCCGCTGTGTGTGTGTGTGTGTGTGTGTGTGTGTGTGTGTGTGTGGGGTGACTATAACAGCCATTAAAGATGAGTTGTGTGATTTTTAAGTCAGAACACTTTCTGCTATATTTGGTGCAGTTCCTCTCACATTCAAGCAGCTGTCAATAAAATATCTGTTCAGTGTAAAAAACTCTGCTGCAGGCGCTGCATTCTTTGTAGTTGGAAGAAAAAAATCTAATAATCTGGACCACCAGTAGCCAACCAATCAGGACAATGAGCCTCATTTACTTGCCTGCCAATCATGTTGAGTGTCACTTCAAAAACCTCCATCTCTTGCGGCAGCATTTAGGTTTTTTAGCAATGTGTTGTGGTGGCGTGGCTTTAGATTGGTTCATTTGTTTACCTAACTTCCACCAAAACAACAGACTGTACCTTTAACAGGCTACTTCCTTATCAATAATGCATCATATTTCATGTTTTGCTTTGCTGGTTTTTTTTAAGCTTCCTTTTCTGATGGCAAGGCCCTGACGCATATTGACGTAAAAAGCAGATGGGTGGCTTAGTGGTTAAAGAGTTCTGACTGAACTAATGATCAGAAGGTTGTGGGTTCAAATCCCGGGTCTGTTTTATTCCTGATGTTTGAATTTTAAGCCTGCTTCTGAAGCCTTGTATCATGTCTGTTCTCCTTATTCAGTTTATCTCTATAGCCTTTTTAATAATCGATGTTGTCAAAAAGCAGCGTTACAGAAATCCGAATGTAGATTTAGCTCACTAATGAGCAAGACCGAGGCGAGAATGGCAAGGAAAAACTCCCTGAGAACTCATCCTTCTTTCTCCACCCTTCCAGCTTTTTCTCTCTCTCAGGCCAGTGAATCTCCTCTTCATCTTTGATCCACAGCTCACACACACTTAATCGTGTTCAGGGGGCTTTGGCCTGAACAACAACCTGTTGGACAAGTACAGAGCTGCTTGTTGGATGAGGCTGTGTGTTCAGAAGATTAGTTTGGAGGAATGGCTGAGACAGCTGGGCGAAAACATTCAGAGAAAGAATGGCTTAAGCTCGAGGATGGTGGGTGTGGTCAGGGTGTTGGGCTGGATGATTGGTGTGATCCACCTGGACCCCCCCCCTGTATTGCGTATAACAGTGTGTTTATATTTCACACTGCAGCTCAGAACTTGCACCTCTCATACCTGTGCATATACAGATGAGAGACAGATTAAAGGAAGAACCAGTGTGTGTGTGTGTGTGTTATGCAGTGGAAGGCTTTTATTTTGCTGGTGTGGATCCACTTGCCCGTGCACATCTGATCACCTTTACATTTCTTTCCTGATGGGATTGGTCTCTTCCAGGATGGCAAGGCCCCATCCATATAAACCGATGTAGATCGTATACTGTGGCAGTCACCAGATCGGAACATGATTGGACGCCTGTGAGAGATTTTGGGCCGGCCACCATCTCTCCGTCATCAAAACACCACGGAATATAATTTTAATGTAAATCCCTCCAATATACTTCCAGAGACTTGGAGAATCTATGCCAAGACACTAGGAAGTTGTTCTGGTGGCTAGTGCATGCATAACAACTAACTAAGACCTTACAGATGGATGACAACTTAAAGGGTATATTAGTGATATACAGTATAAAATAGGGATCTAACTGAATACAGATTCATTATTTATGTTGAGGTTGAATAGATTGTGTGTTCTAAACAGATGCAAATACAGTTATGAATAGGAGGCACACTATTATTGTTATTATTATTTGTGATATCGTCGTTGCTTTGCTCCCACAGTCTGACCTAAACACCGCTCCAAAAATAAGACCATATTTCTAAACAAGTTGGCCTGAAATTCACAAATGAAGAATGCAATTATTTATAGAGGCACTGCTCTATAATTAACTATATAGAGCCCACGCAGACCACGTGCTGTGCTCAGGGCAGCATATCTCTGCTGGGCTCTCTAAAATACATCATTTAAAGAAATATTAACTTGTATGCTCATTGTGTGTGTTTTTCAGAATTCTTTATATTAAAATTTCAATCTTAATAGACAATCATTCAGGCATTATAATAAAATGCCACTTAAAGGACAGCAGAAGCACTGCGTCTAGCTTTATAGTACATTCTGATAGCGTGTCCAGAGAACTTTTCTGATCTTTCTGGAATGTAACAAACCCCCAGATTAAAATAAATCTGATCAAATATTATTAGATGGTTGTTGTGAACCATAATCAGTAGTTCCCTTTTTGGGATTTGGGAAAGCATTGTACTCCGTCGCATGAGATAGAAAGCTCGTCAGAAAGCTCCACAGGGCGTCTCGTTGAGACTGATTATGAACTCCAGTGTAATAGCTGAGGAACTTTACAAGTTCTGGAGTTAATTAAAGTTATCTTTAACTTTATTTGTTATATTTTGTGAATGTAAAATGACTTATTTTCTTGCAGCCTTGTTTTTTCCCCCCAGTGTAGAGGTCAGGTTCACATTTAATTAAAAATAAGGTCATGCCAACTTTTGGTTTAAATCTAAATACTGATAAGAATATTAGGAGCACTAGATAGATATATATGTTGTGTCATTGCGTTAAACCCTTACTTTGTATACCCCGACTCTCCAACCGCACGTGCACACACACACGTGTGCACACACACACAAACGTGCACACAGCATATGCTCATTTGCTTAGAGGTTAGGACAGTCAAAATGATGCACTGTTTATTGAAACAATTGACAGATGTAGTACAATGTTTATTTTCACTGGACACTCTCCCGTAGACAGGGAGACGAGGCTGAGGGAAACAGAGTGGATCTCATGCTGCGTTCGGAGGAAGCGGGATCTTTGCTGTAGCGTTTAGAGACGGGTGGGGCGGCTGGAGTTACACACAGCCTCCAGATCATGTTTCCACTAGAGGCGAAATAAAATGAAGCCTTGCAATTCAAACAATTGATGGATTAAGGCTGTGTGTGTGTGTGTGTGTGTGTGTGAGAGAGAGAGAGAGAGAGAGAGAGAGAGAGAGAAGGTGTTTTATTTCAAAAGCAGGATGTAATTGTGCCTGGGTTCACTGGGTGGATTTGACTGGTCAGATTCTTTTCACTGTTGTTTATACAGAGTCAGCACACATAAATGTACGCTAGTGCGTGTGACATGATTGCGTCTATTCCAAAACTAACACACACACACACACACAGACACACATACTCACTCTTTCTCTGTCTCCACCTGGCTTTTAGTATGTTTTTTGGCTGTGGTTTTGCAGCTGGCAGAGATAATGCTGCATGTGAGATTATGGGTCAGAATAATAATAATACTCGGATGCTAGCGTTATTCCAGGTCTCGTCTGTTATGCCCTGCTCTGCCCCATAATGCCTCTTATGAGCACGCTCTCTCTGATGAAGTGACTATAGTTTATACAGGTACGCATTAAGTGCATGCTAGGTAATGATTGCGCTCCCAGTGTAATATCTGGGGAAGAGTGAAGGAGGATATAAAATCTGTCACTGTTTAATTATGTCTGGATTCCTTAAGCACTAATTTGAGGCATCAGTGGCTCGGTAATCGGCTAGCATTCCCACAGGAAGGCTTATCAGTTCTTTAGTGATTACAGATTAAAGATTGCTCTCTTTCCATATCAGCCATGCTCAGTGTGTGTCTTCCTGTGTTTTTCTCCTGCTCTCTCCCATGGCAGGGTATGTGTTCGTTGGAGGGCAGACGTTGTTTGTATAGACTGTCACCCTCAGTGTACTGAGTACATGGTTTATACTTGCAATGTCGCTCTTCCTGTGTTGACTTTTGGGGTGGGTGTGTGGGTGTGTGTGTGTGGGTGAACTGTAAGGAAAAGGAAGCGTTCAATAGGTCCTTTGGGGATGTGACGTAAAAAGTAAAGTGGCATACGTGTGGCAGGGATCTGCTGTGGTGGTGTTTATTTCAAAATTTCATTTAGCAAACTGACACATGACTGAGTCATCTCAAGTGTGTGTGTGTGTGTGTGTGTGTGTGTGGGTTGTTGATTTGTGTGACACTGTAGGAAGGCGCATGTCTGCGTTGTGGCTGGCACGCCTACTGTATGTGTGTTTATCTGTGCACATGTTGCTGATTCAGGACTCTCGTAGCGTGGCCGTGTTAGCGTGATTGATTTGAGGCCGTTTGGGAAATGAAGCATAGCGTCACACTATCATGCCGGGAAAAGACATTCCCACTTAAGGCCTCTTCACACAGACTCTTTTCACATAAAAAAAAATGTATAAAATTAGATTTGAAAATATCTGCATTTCTATAAATACTTTCATATCGTAAGCAAGACCGTCGTACGGTGATTATTTTGTTTTTTCAGCGTTCTGCTCCAACGAAAATCTTATCAACCAGGAAGATACAGACTTTTATTTACAAGATAGACGACCCACAGGATGGAGAGCAGCTGATGAGCTGTATGATAAGCTGAAGAGCAGCTTCCAAAAAAAGCAGATTTAAAGGAGACTGTTTTTGTCCACAGTGGTTCCCTGTTCTTACAATCTCTAGGGAATTGTTTAGACACTAACCCTAAGCAGTGCTTTGTAGGACTTCATTAGAGCACCAAATGGCCTCCAGTATGCTTTAGTACACGAATGCTGAATGACAAAACTCCCACAATAGTGAATAGGCAGCAGTTTCAGACATACCGTGTGTGTGTGTGTGTGTGTGTGTGTGTGTGTGTGTTACTCCATAGCTGATGCACATTGTAAGGGTTCACAGCCTTTCAGCTCTATTACTAATTCTATTCAAGTTCATTATTAACTAGTCCCTGATCATTATAATGGCAAAACCAGTCATTTGTACTGTTTGAGCTCCTGTATGAGCAAGTAAAAAAATTTTTTCCTCCACATGGCGATATGGGAGACACCTGAGAACTACACTTTTCAGCTTTTTTGGCTAAAGCAGTCGTCAGACCAAAAGTGAGTAAAATTCACCCAAAGGAAATGCCAGTTCACTGAAGGGGAAAGGACATGGACCACAAGAATTTGGACATGTGCGTTCACATGTCACAAAGTTCAGTCTAGCGAACATGCGCTCATGTTCATTTTGTAACCGCTGTATAACGTAAGACAATACACTCAGCTTATAAATCTGAACTTTTTTGCAGTTTAATATCTTTTAAAACAAATCCATTTGGGGCTTTTGTGGTAAAATAGGTTTTTTTCCCCTGCCTGCTCAGATTTTCTTGTTAGCAATGTTGGCACCTCTGAAGGTATAGTTGTGTTAGTGAAAATATGCATCAGGCTTGAGCTGAAGGGCTGTAATAGGGAAAATGTTTGGGAATAATTCACACTTTTGTGATGTTTAGTCGCATAGGAGGAGCCCTGTCCAGGAATGTTGAAGTCCACCAGAGTTTGGTGATTTCCCTGCGCAGAGACGCACTTGATTTAACTCACCAGTTAATTATCAGGTGTGTTTCAGCAGGGAAATCGCCAATCTACAGGACTCCAGTCCTTCAGGAGTGGAGCTGGGCACCCTTGGGAAACAGCCTGTAATTACGTACACACACGGATGGAAAGAGTGAAAAGATGGAGGACAGATACAACGTGCTACACGGCTGAGTTTACCATGCCTGTTTAGCAAAAGCTAAACGAGTGATGAATGTATTTAATATGCTGG